GAAATCAACTGTAAAAAATGCTATCATTTATAAGTCATAAACAAATGCAGCTCTTACAAAAACTGAAATGTTTCTTCTTGAATAACATGTCTCTGGATACGTGGCAATGCGTAAAAAATGTCATGATTATTTCAAAGTCAGACATATCTCTGTATTTTCAAGAAAATTATTCGTTAATTAATATGAAATATTAATCCCAAATTATTAATAAATCTCTATTTTTATCCTCAAATTATAATAATTTTAATTTTAGAATCAACCAATCAAGTAGGGGTAAGGGCTAAATTCTTGGTTGCTATCAACAATTTGTAGCAACAAAAAATTTACATCCTCAAACTATGAATAATTTGATGAAACAATTGATCAATATAAGAATAGTAAGAAGAAACAATCGGCATCACAGAAATAATCCAACATACCTGTTCTATGAAAAACAATAAAAGGCAAAAATTAAACTTACCAAGATGGAAAAGCTCTAGAGTTTGGTCCACAGAAAATAGCGTGATGATCTTGTCTTGAATATTTGGATGTGAAAGGATTATGAAGAAAAAATTTAAAAAAAAAATCAAGATAAGAACTGGAGGAGCCGAAAGGGAGAGAACGGAGGAAGTGAAATTGAAATGAAATGTGCCTGTGCCGTCTGCACATTCTTAATGCTAGGGTTTTTTTTTATTTTATTTGAATTTAGTTTTTAGCTAAATAAAATTTCACGCCAACAATAGCTTGTCCTTCGGCTGTGGTTCAGTGGTTTGCGTGCCTTATTCTGGTCTCGTCACCTGTGTTCGAATCTCAGCAGCCTCCACTCTTGCTATTATTTTGAATTTGAGGGAAAATCTAAGAACCGCCGGTTTCGCGGTTTATGCGGGTTTTAACGGTTCGTATGGTTCGGCCAGTTCATAGCGGTTTTTCATTACCTTCCGGGTTTGATATTAGACCGGACCGGTGACATGGCCGGTTCGCGGTTGGACCGGTCGGTTCTGAAAACATTGATTTTCTCCATACCTTGTGCATAGAGGTGTACCTTGTTTTGTCCTTCTGAATATCGTTTCCCTGGCTGTTAAGGTATTAGTAATACACCTGCATATGAACAGTTTGATTTTGTGCTTAATGTTCAGTCCCCAAAGAGTTTTTCAAATCTGTGTGTTAGAATCATCATAGCTCGATCCAGATTCTCCTTTTATTTCACTTTCCTTCCTCCTCTCTTCCTTCAGCAGAACTTGATAGCAAGATTTGACTGAATATTCCCCATGTTTACTATGCAACCAAAAGTATGAATCCCCTACCCTTGACAGACTGATAGGTATCCTCAAGATATTCTCAGCATCCTTTCTATTGAACCTCCTATACACCTCAGTCCTATTCCAACTGAAGTTTGATATCAGATCTTCCACCTTCTGTTTCTCCCCCCTTTCTGGCATCCTTGTTGTTGGCCTTCCACTTGGATTGTTTGGGATCTATTGGTCTTTCTAGATCCTTATTGCCTTCCCTGCCCTAACTCTTTTCAATACACCCCCTTTCACTACCTCTCTTGCTGACATAACACTTTGCCAGAACCAGAATGAGTTTTTGGGGATCTTACAATTCAGCATGGACTCCTTGGGATAGTACTTAGCTTTTAATATCTTGCTGACCAGAAGGTTTAGGAATCTGATCATCCTCCAAATCTGTTTACCCAATAATACTTTATTGAAACATTGTAAGTTCCTGAACCCCAATCCTCCATCCATTTTAGCTTTCATCATTCTTCCCATGAGCACCAATGTACCTTGCTTTTTCCTTCTGTTTCACCCCACCAGTATTTGGCCATCAATCCTGTGATCTCCTTACATAGTGTACCAGGTAGCTTGAAATAGGACATAGCATAATTTGGCATGGCCATAGTCACTGCTTTTAACATCACCTCCTTTCCTGCTGCACTTTAGGAACTTGTTCTTCCAGCTATGAAGTATAGCCTTAATACTGTCTTTTATGTAAGCAAAAACCTGACCTTTAGTTCTTGTTATCACCATTGGAAGGCCCAGGTATTTGCCTTGGTTCACTGTCTTTACCCCAGCTAATGGCTCACAAGATTCCTCCCTGTCCCTTTCCTTAGTATTCTTACTAAAACAGATAGCATATTTGTCCAAGTTGATCGCCTAGCCAGACCCTCTTTCATACTAGTCCAAAATTTCTCTTAGTTTCCTTGTTTCTGCCCCCACAGCTTTACAGAAGATCAACATGTCATCAGCAAAGAAAAGATGTGTAATTGCTAGTCCATGTTTGCTGATTCTTAACCCACTTATAGAACCTTGTCTTGTTGCATTCTTTAACACACTTGAGAGGCCTTCAGAACACAAAAGAAACAGGTAAGGTGACAGAGAATCACCTTGCCTAATGCCTCTATTTGGAATCACATGTTCCTTGGTCTCTCCATTTACATTAAAGGAATAGGAGACTGAGTTGATACACTCCATAATCCATTCTACCCACACCTGGTTAAATTCCATCTTTTCCATCACAGCTTTCAAGTAACCCCACTCAACTCTATCATAGACTTTAGACATGTTCAGTTTGAGTGCAGTATAGCCATCTTTACCCTATCTCTTGTTTTTAAGAAAATGAAGACATTCATGGGAGATGATTATATTATCCAGAATCTGTCTGTTTGGGATGAAGGTTGATTGATTTTTGCTAATGCAGAGTTCTAGGACAGGTTTCAATCTATTGGCTAGAATTTTGAAGATAACTTTATAAAGTACATTACATAGACTGATAGGCCTATATTGTTTCAGATCAGTAGGCAGATCAACCTTAAGAATGTGAGAAATGATGGTATGATACAAAGATTTAAGCATACGGCCTGATTGGAAAAAAGCTTTGATTGCTTTCACCACATCTTCCTTGATAGTTGGCCAAAATTTTTGGAAGAAGAGGGGCGTCATCCCATCAGGCATTGGAGCCTTATTGGGATTCATGGAAAAAACTGTTACCTTTATCTCATTCTCCTCCACAGGCCTAGTTAGATTAGTATTAATCTGATCTGTAACTGTGACATGAATACCTTCCAACACCTCCTCAATGCCCTCTGTCCTAGTAGCCTTAAACAGATGCTTATAATATCTAGCTATCTCCTCAGCAATCTCCTTGTCATCTTTAGTCCAAGATCCATCCTCCCTCTGCAGGTTACCTATCTTGTTTCGTTTTCTTCTTCCTTTTACCACAGCATGGAAGTACTGAGTGGTCTTATCTCATTCTTGTAACCAGTTTAGCCTAGCTTTCTGACTCCAGTATTGTTCCTCCTCCTTGTAAGCACCCACTAACTGTGTTTTTCAAAACTGCAACTCTCTCCTTTCTACCTTCAATCTTTGAGCTTTTTTCCTTCATCAGTTGCTGCTTTAGAGAATCAATCCTCTTCCTAGAGTTTTCCATGAAACCATTTCTCCATTTCAGTAAGGCAACTCTACATTTCTTAATTTTGTTCATTATTCCAACTCCTCCCAGGCCTGCTTTATCACTTCTCTAACTCCTTCCCTCCTTATCCATCTTTTGTCAAAGAAAAATTTCTTTCTCTTCTTCCTTCCCCCAGGAGTTGTGTCTAGTATCAACATACTATGGTCAGAAGCCAAACTTTCTAAATGAGTGCACTTGGGTTTTTCAAAAAGGTTGCTCTAGTCCCCACTGCTAAGACCCCTATCCAACTTTTCTTTTATTTCTCCATCCGGCCACTAATTGCACCAAGTCCAGGGGTTGACCTTCGAATCCAATATCAATTAGTTGGTTCTCCTGAATGAAATTCCTGAAGTCATAGAAGCTCCAATCCTCCCTACTTCTGCCTCCCCATTTCTCCTCATTAGAGCACAAATCATTAAAGTCCCCTATAATAATCCACTTATCCCCCTACAATTCTCTCCTTCTACTGATAACTTCCCATTGCCCTTTCCTGATCTGTTTGTCACAACTAGCATAAATCCCTATCAACTACCACTCCTGCTTTTCTTTTTCATCCTCTATTAGAACTTCAATTGTGAATGGTAAATTTTTTATATCCTTAACTTTTGTCTCCTCATTCCACATCAAATACATATCTCTAGCTCTATTCATAGCCTCAACCACACATAGCAGTTATCATAGTTCAAAATTCTTTTAACCTTCTCCATGTACTTAGTCTTATTCTTAGTCTCACTTAGAAATATCATGTTCAGGGAGAGGAGGCTGTTAACCTCCTTCAGATGGGGAATTGTCAAGGGACTCCCTGCACTTTGACAATTCCACACCATGGCCCTCATTGATCCTTTGGGGACCAGTGCGGGCTAATCCCTTCCCCTCCAATCTTTTCATAATCTGCATCCCCCTTATGATCTCCTCTATGTCTCTTCTCTGTATGTTCCTGATCCACGACTTCTTCCATCTCTTCATCCCTGAGTTGGAACTTCCTTTTTGCCCCATTAATCTCCTTAAGAGGTTCTCTAAGTTTTCTTGAATTAGAGTGCACTCTCTTGAACCTTTTTCCCTTTCTTACAAACTTTTCTATGGTTTTCTTTATTGTTGTCTCATCAATTTCCATCCTCACTAGAACCCCCTCCCCACTGGATCCTTCCTGTGCTCCTTCTGCACCTCCTTCTATTCTCTCATTCTCATATATTATCTCCCTACCAGTGGCTCCTTATCTCTCCACTTCCTCCTCAATGCCTACCATCTCCTGCATTTTAGCATTTATAACCTCCACTGGTCTCACTACTTCCTTTCCTATGTTTGTACTTCTATCCCCCCTTCTTTCTTTTCTTCACCTCCATATCCTTCTCAGTCGTCCACTTTGGTATAATCCTGCCAATCTTTCCTTTTTCTCCACTATGATGATTATCCTTCTCCTCTATTTGTTCCTATACCTTATTCACCATAACTTCACTAGACTTACTCAGAATTCCTTCTTGATTCAATCCTACTCCTTTGTCCTGTTGCTCTAGTTCCTCTATCCTAATCATTTCCCCATTCCTCACCTTCCAAACCTGCCTGTGAGATGTCTAAATCTTTGGACTATTCTCTTTTTGAGGAGATCCTCTTCTCTCAAACACCCTTATCCACGAACCATACTGATTCTGATATTGTCCCTTTTTCACCTCCACCGGAGATTTACAATTCTTTTCACTATGCCCAATCACTCCACAGCTATAACAGAAGTTAGGGCACTTCTCATATTTGAAGGCCAGCCATTTGTTCACTCCAATAATCTGAACTGTGGTTCCTCTCAGTAAAGGTTGCTTAATATCTATCATAACCAATAACTTCATATGTTTCCCTTCTTTACCTCCAGTTTGAGGGATCAACACATCTTTCACCTCATTGAATATAGTTCCCACTTTCTTTCCTACTGCCTTAGATAGGCAGTGTATGGGAAGGTTCCACACTTGCAGCCAAACTGGAGCTAAATTGAAAGCATCCTTATCTTCTTCAATTCCTACCTCCCACCTCCTAATCACTAATATCTGGTTATCTATAATCCACGGACCCCCCTCAAGAATCCGTTCCTTATCCTTTAGGTCAGGAATAGTAAACTGGAAAACATTAGGTCCTAATTCAGCTACCTTAAGGCCCTTAGGATAGCTCCATGCCACAGTAACAAAATTTTTAACTCCTGTAAAGTTAACAACCTTTTCTTCTCTTATTTTCCTATAATGCTACCTTGGCATTCTGTTATCCCTTCGCCTAGGACCCCAGATCTATGAGTGTACTCCCCACTTCCTTCTCTGAGAGAGCAAATTTCTGCATCACCTCTACCAACTCCTCCTCCATCGTAGCACTCAAGCACCGGAAGATACCCTGTCACTTACCACCAGATACCCACTAATCCCCTAGCTCTATGGAAGTAGAGTAAAGATAGCATTTTTCCAGATGATTCACCAAACAGAATCTTAGACCAAAACAGTTAACGAAAGCAAGCAAACAAGAGCAAGAAATAGTTATACTACCTTAACCGAACTTCTTTCCTTTTATAGCATTGGTGGAATGTCCGTCCAGCTGCATAAGAAATGCACATACAGAAGTATTTTTGTCTTTTCCCTTTTGTTTTTCTGTCCCCTTTATTCCCCTCACCAATCGACCAGCTCCACTTCCATAACTTCCTTAAAAGCACTTCCTTTATGTTAACTTATCCATATGATTGTTGGATCCTTGTTTTGAGACCCACACTTGTGGACAATGTTGAACTTTAGCAGTTAGCTCAGATTCAAGCTTTGAACTCAGATCCTAGAAAGCTTGAAATTTTGAAAAACTTGAAGTTCCCACAAGGGGAAAGCAGCTCCCTTCCCGAGAGAGAGGAAAGCCTCTACACGTGAGAGGAAAGCTATTCATTCACCCAACTCCCACTTTTATATAGTTAGATTAGATATCATAACATGTGGAGGTCATCCATGAATATGACTTGTTCTCCTGCTAAACTTGGGGAAAAAAAAGATGGGTCTTTTAAGCATAAGTTTGCAGTTTTCTATAAGGGTGAATTACAAGTTATTCCCCTAATGTATGACATAATTTCCAGTTTACTCTCTAATCTTTTGTTTTTGTGTCACTTTACCCCTAATAGGACAAAACTACACCCATTATGTTGTTACTTTTTCTTTGAATAAATTTTGTATAAACTAACAGTGTATATTTTATCCAATTAGATGAGTGACACATATGACAAATTTATATTTTAAATTCAAATTGAAATTAGTATTCATGCATCCAAATCTGACAATGTATACACTGTTAATGTATACAAGATTAATTTTCTTTCTAAAATTTGTATTCTTTTATATACGTAAAATTTGTATTCATCTAAGAATCAATTTTTAATTGAATTTGTGGTCTATTTGTCTATTTTAGATGTAGATATTTGACATTAATTTGTTTCTCTTTTATTTGTTATAATCCATCCTAACCAAAAAATTAAGATGCCGATTGTTGAATTTACAAACACGAAGAAATTATATATACAAATTTTTCTTATAATTAGCCAATTACAAATCAATTACTTTTTAATTAATTTAATCTATTTTTCAATCTAAGAAGTTAAAAGACAAATTTTTATTCTATATCCTAATATATTCGACAATTCAAAATAAATTATTCATTTTTTACAACTACGTCACACGTCGATTATTTGAATATTCCTATTGACATATTACACGCACAGAGAAAACACTTGTATAAGTGGAAAAAAGGCGATACAAACTGGGGGAGGGGTGTGTTTGTATGAATTTTTCAAAGATTGTATAATTTTTATTTGAACTCTATAATATTGATGTGTTGGCTTTTACATTTATTGTCCATTATGTATTTAGACAATTTTTTTATTTCATATCATTTTTCTAAAATATTAATACGTATGGTTTAACGGTTGTGAATTAGACATTCATACATGTAGACCTCCTCATGTTCTAGGCAAAACTAACTAATATTTATGAAGAAGGGGCTAGGACAGTTGTTATGACAATCATCCGAAACGATTAAAGGCCAAATTTGCCAACAAAGTAAAAATTGAAAATTTTTATTTAAATCTTGACGTAATTAAATCAATAGGGTTCACATGAATGGTAACTGAATATAACATCTCTTATTACAAATGGTACAAGTAGTTTTAATCGATTACAATGTATTAAGCATCGTTATACTGTTTAAGAATAATTGTCCTAACAACTATTGCTATTGCTCTTCCTCTTCCAATTCATTAACTCAAATAGATTTTTATTTCAAATACATAGTCCCGAGTAGGGCTGCAAACGAATCGAGTCGGCAAAGCAACTTGAATCCGAGTTCGATCAACATCATTAGCTCGTGAGTCAAATCAATTATATATATATATATATTATTTTAATAGTAAAATTACATATATATCCTTAATAATTTTTATTATCTGTTAAAAAATTATTATTTTATTCATTTTTAAAAATAAAATAATTATTTTTTATCTCGAACTTTACATTGAGAGTTTGTTGAGTTCAAATTCGAGTTTGAGTTTCATAAAACTAAATTGAAACTCCACTCGATTATGTCAAAACTCAATTCGACTTAACTTAGTTCGTTTGCATCCTGAGTCCGGAGGTGGGCTTTTAGATTGGTAGTATTTTTATAAACAGATGTATTGAATTTTTGCGCACATAACTCAAAATTGTGAATTTGAATAACCTCGTTTTCATTTATAAATGAAATATATATGAAAACATATTTATTCAATTAAGGAGATAAGGACAAGTAGGCCACCATGGTTTGACTTTGTGTCCATCTCCACTGGAACCTATTTGGACATGATTCACATGGATGGATACAGGATTACAGCAATTGAGTTGCTGTGTGGAAAAAGTGAAAGTATGGTGCAAAATCTCATCAACTTTTTCTGGAATCATTTTGTTGAAAAGATCAAGTAATATTTGAAGGCAAATCCAAGCAGGCAATCACTTCTGAGTCAAGCTTGTTTCACCTAAAGGCAGAGAGGGAAAATTGGTTCTATTAATCAAAAGTAATGATAATACTTGGTTGAAGATTTTATCCCAAAAGAAAATAATAGTCATAAAGATAATTTAGAAATTTCCCTAATTGTTTATTGTTCCTATCACAAGTAAATGTAACATGGATTAAGGCCCAAATGATGATTGTCAACCTCCAATTGTTTGCATTGGTTAACCATTGATTTTTTTTTTTTTCTGATGCAGGGGTATCCTGACTTACGCTAGACTAATCCTCCTAGAACAGTGCAGAACCCGCTCCAAAGATGCACTACACGATAACAAGCGGATTCGAAACAATGACCTCTAAGTAAGGACCTAATGAGGCTACCACCGAGCTACCTCAACGGGGACTTGTTAACCATTAATAATTTGGAGGAATCAGAATTTTTTTTTAAAATTGTGCCTATGTGGTTGGTTAACAAATTACACGTCATACACACTACGTAAGAATTAATCTTTATATATATTATCACAAATATTATATATATAATACAATACATATTTAAATAATTTTAGATTTAAATTCAAATTAATTATTTGCATTCAAGGTGCTCATGTGCGTATACTATTTCTGTATAAAAGATTAATCCATTTCGTAATAAGTAGGATTTATCAAAAGTGTTCAGAATGTACACTTTTTTCCAACAACCGTTGACAGGTTCAGAATGTACACTTGATTGATTGATTGTTTGTACTTCACAATTGTGCAATGGGCCATGCTATAGCAATATAGCCTTATACAGGTGCGTAAGCCCTCCCGGTTATACATTCCGAATAGGCACCTAATATATAGTAATTTCCAGTGAAATAAAATCAGAACTAATCCACTTTCACTTCTGAGAACTGCTTCCCACGAGGCTTTATCCTCTTCTCTAAAAGAACAACCTCAGTGCCATCAACTATCCTGTCATGGGCATAATGATATTCAGCAGATGGAAGCACAATTAAGCAGAACAATTGTAACTCTACTAACATTTCAGGCAAAGAAACAAAAATCATCAAATTTATGGAGTACATTACGAACTAGCCAAGACATGTAGAGTCATATTCGAGCTGTTGCAGTTGTGTTCAAGCATCTTTCTGTTTCTTACAAACAATCTAGACAGTTAAAATGAGGTAATATATTCAACAAAGATGCAGAGCAATCCTCAGCAGTGCCTCCCAGTAACACAGGTCACGTTTGACATACAGTGGGATCTTTTACACCAGAAACAAACACCAACAATTTTTTTTTTAATTGCAAACACCAACTTTACAGGAAAACTTTAAGACAGCCATATCAAGGGTTTTTCAAACTTCTAGTTGCAAATAAGTTCCTTCAATACATCTCCCATTTCATAATAGCAATTCTAACAAACATTTCATTAAAGTTGACTAACCTGATAATGAAGAGAACATGTCCGTCAAAGACCTGTTGCCCAGCAGTTAACTGAAGCCCACTAACATAACCAGAGGTCGGCGCCTTCACAACATGCTATATCAGGAAGGGAGAAGGAAGCAGAAAATCAAATTTTAAACCATAGAAGAGAGTCAAGCAAGATAATTTCAACAGAAAGAGGATACTACAGCCTGCTTCAATACAAACCTCCATCTTCATTGCTTCTAATACTATTATAGGTTGTCCTTCCTCAACTTTTTCCCTCTCCTTTGCTAAAATTTTAACCACTAAACCAGCCATTGGGGCACAGCAGTCCCCGGAGGATGAGATGCCGACTCCAGAACTGGTTTATGTTGCTTATCACCATCATCAAAGAGTTCTAGCGTCATTTTCCTTGTGAAGAAATGATGACAAGAACTAATGCCAGATGTGAATGTATTCAGTTTGATCCTACAAGTGAGAGGAAAAAATTGTATTCTAAATCTGGAACAAATACATGAACACTTTCAAATACAAGGCAGACAAGCATTGTTGATTCAGTATCTCTAAAGTTTATGATATTTTAGATTCTGATATATTAATTGTAAATAACAATTTGCACGAACTCAAACCATGTGTATAATAATAAAACTGATGATTGAAAAGACAAACGTGATTCCACTAACATTACAAGTAAAGTTTGACAAGACATCAACTCTATCCATCCACTTGAACAAGCAAAGATTCATAATAATACCTTTTTAATCAACAATCACATTTATGGAAGGGATAAATATTAGAAGTTCAAGAAAGTATATCATTTCTTTTGTTTTTTTTGTTCCCTTCCCAATTTGGAGGAAGTGGAGACATGCAAAAAATTCAAGAGAATGAGGTAGGAGGCAGATTTGTACCCAAACTCCTTCAGATGCTTAAAAAGCAGCATATAGTTT